GAAGGAGGAAGTGGAGATGGAGCTGGAAGGGACAGCGCAACTCCGACGCAGACTCAACACCGCACGTACTCCAACAAGTGCAAAAATGATGAATGACGAAAAACAGACAACAGCTGGACTGACTGACTGGTCTGGCCTAGTACCGATAATGGTACTGAGCAGGACTGGAACAACACATGGCCTGTGGGGTCAGGCCACAACCTGGTCCCACAGGCCAAACTGGCAAATAGCCAAATAGGCCCTGGCTGTAGGTCAGGGCAGATGGAGGCCCCCTGCACAATCCTCTGACCTGTAATGAATCGCAAAAACCATAAACACGCTATCCCCAAAAGCAGTGGAACTCTGCAATCAAAAGAAAGCTGAGAAATCTAGGATGCGGAGCACGCTCCATGCTGAGTCCATGCGATGCAGCCTAAGCTACATAATGTCAAATGAAACACAAATGTCTGCTATACACATCCTAGCTAACAACAGAAAATGAAATGTAGCAATATACAATCATATGGTCCTTGAGGCAATTGCCTCAGTGCTGAAAGGAAAAAAAAACAATATGTCACACGATAATGTCATGTCGCTGAACCACTAAGAGTGGGATGGTCTCAGAGGGGGTGAATGCAGCCTAAGAATCGAAACTCCTAAGGGCAGTCACATATGAAGGTGGGATAGGTCATCAGACTCAAGGTGCGAGAGTGGTAGCGAAACAAAATCAAAGACCCTAACAGATAGACCATCAGGGCGGGTAATGCTCGACCAAAGGATGGCACCATGCAGGGTCGACCTTGAAAAAAGGGGGAGCTTGGAATAGGGTGGAGATATGCCTAACTGGAGGCATGCAAGGGCCGACACTAGGGTGATGAGGCAATGGGTGAGAGAAACATGCACACAACTTATCGACTGGGGGAGGAGGGAGCTAGATCTGGGAGAAAGGAAACCAAGATAGCACTACGGTCTCAATGCCTATGCGATACCAAGGGAGAACCCAACTCAAAGAGACCCAGCTAAGTGAGAACCATCATGCGACAGATGCAAGGGAATGTACAGGGTAGGGTGGTAGCGTGAAGTAGTCACGTCCAAAGTAGCTGAAGTCGATAAGATGGCTGAAGTCGAGAAGGTGACTGAAGTCGTCGAAGTGGTCGATGACGTCGATGAATTAGGAGTCGAGGTCGATGTCGATGTCGAAGCAGAGCCGCAAAACGCTGACATTCTGAAGAAGTTGATGATGGAGTACCTGATGGTGTGAGTCAGTAGGGTGATAGTAGGTGATCAGAGTGTCAATCGTCAAGACGCCAAGAACGTCGACGAGTGCGATGTGGGATGCCGAGGACGTCGACGAGTGTGCTGTGGGACACCGAGGACGTCGACGAGTGCGCTGTGGACACGCGGAGGCGTCCATCTGACTGCTGAAGAACGACCTAAGAGGGAGCAGGCTCATCCTTAGCAATCTCCTCAGCCGGAGGAGGAGGAAGAGGGTCAATCGGCTGAGTAGGAGCAGATGTCTCAGTACAACGAGCACGATTATATGTACGCACCAGGGCCAATATTCGCGCGTGCTCCAAGTGCTCGAGGGGCTCCCAAGTAGCCTCCTCATCAGGATAACCCTTCCAACGCACAAGGCACTCGATGCGTGGAGGAATATCGTCAGTAACTCGGCGAGATACGATGTCGAAAACGACGAACTCCTCGTGACCGTCCACCATGATAGGTGGAGGGCGCTCATAAGGACATCCGACGAAGCGCTCGGACGGTCTGCGATAAGGACGCAACAAGGAGACGTGGTAAACATCGTGTACACGAGCCTGTCGAAGGTAATCAGGTAGCTTCACACGGAAGCTGACCGGGCTAGCGGCAGTATCAGAACCGACGGCCTGAAGGATGCGGCATGGACCGAAAAAACAACGTCTGAACTTGTTAAGCGTATCTGCTTCGAGCTGTAAGTGGCGTACGTCGACGAGCACTTCGTCATCGACTTTGAATACGTGATCCATTCGTGAACGGTTTGCTCGTGCAGCCATGCGAGTCTGGAAATCGGTTAGACTCTTGTGTGCATGCTTCGTAATCGCCGCCATGTGGACGATCCAGTCATCCAGTGCAGGACAACGAGTGTCTGGGCGCAACCGCGATGGTCTTAGGAAGTCCGCAGGTACACAAGGGTGGTAGTCGAGGTCGCAATAGAATGGCGACATCCCCGTGGCCAGCGAAACAACGTGATTGTACGGAATTTCCGCTTGGGCTAAGTGTAAGTCCCACTGTTGGTCATCCCTAACAAACTTTCGGAGGATGTTACTGAGAGTTTTATTGGTGACCGCAGTCTGATCATCCGTCTTAGGGTGGTAAGACGATGAGAAGCGGAACAAGGATCCGTACACCTCGTGTAGACGTCGCGATAATGTGCTGGTAAAGCGCAGGTTACGGTCGGAGATGATGCTCTGAGGTAAGTCGTGATCTCTCACGACTCGGTCGAAGACGATGTCGGCGACCTCACGGACGCTAATGCGATAGCGGCACAGGACAAAACGTGCACGCTTCGTGAAGCGATCGACGACGATCAAAATAGCATCATGACCGCGCTCAGTGGGTGGGCGGAGGGGACCAATGAAATCCATCGAGATGGACTGCCAACGACCCTCGGGTATGGGTAAGGGCTGAAGTAACCCATACGGGAGGTGGTTCGCAATGTTCACCTCCTGACTAGCAGGCTGGATGTAGGCTTTGACGAAGTCCTTGGACTTCGGCCAGACGTATAGGCGGCAAACACGAGCCAACGTCTTGTGGAAGCCCATATGATCGGCAACTGCTTGATCATGGAACTCTGTTACAGCCTGGACGCGGAGCTGTCCGATGGAGGGAACACAAATACGTGGTTCTAGCTGACCAGATCTGCCATGCCAGTACACGAGACCGTTCTCACCAAGGAAGTATGAGGGAACGGTCTTGCCACTCCGCAGTGTCGCGTGGATGATGCGATAATCTGGGCAGTGACGGTACAGGGTGCGATATGCGTCGATCACCGACTGATCAACAGTGGTGATGGAGATAGCAGCAAGATGGATGGGTTCCTGATTGTGATCAGGACGACGAGACAAGACATCGGCGACGCGGTTCGTTTCACCCTTGATGGGCTGAGTGGTGAAACTGAACTCGGATAAGTCACACCACCAACGTATCTATCGAGGGGAAAGCTTAAGCTTCGTTAGGAAAGCCTGGACAACTAAGTTGTCCGTGCGCACCGTGAAGCGCGCCCCGTGCAGGTAATGACGCCAATGTCGGGTAGCATAAACTGCTGCGAGAACCTCACGTTCATCAACAATACAGTTTATCTCGGCAGGCGGTAGCTGACGGGAGTAGAAGGCGATCGGGCAATCCCCAGCACGAGCCTCAACAGTCCCATTCTCCGCGATGGTCGGGGAGTAAGTAATGAGAGGACTATCCGTGAAGGGAAGTGGTGGGAGGATAAGCGCTAGTCGAGAAGCAGTGTCAGCAGGAGGGGGGGGGGGGARGGAGGAACATGGGGATAAGGTGAATCAGGAGGAGAGGGAAACACCTGAGAAAGTACTACTCCTACTGCAAAATCTGATACATCAGTGGTGACGATGAAGGAGCGATCAAAATTTGGGAAGCAAAGAACCGACGTACAAGTCACCGCCTTCTCGCAGAGGGGTGTCCAAAACCACGGCGGGTTCTTCTGGAGGAGGGTGGAGGTAAGGACGTAGGAATACCTAGCATATCCCTTGATAAAATTACTATAGTAGCTGGTGAGGTCTAGGAAACTGCGAAGCTGCTTGGTAGATGTGGGGACGGGCCACTCTACAATAGCAGTGATCTTCGCGTCGTCCATGTGAAGACCCTGGTCAGACACATTGTGTCCTAGGAAGTCCACTTTGCGCTGGGCAAAGCGGCAATTACTAAGTGTGGCGTAGAAACCGTGCTTGCGTAAGCGTTGTAGGACATCGCAGAGGTGTCAGATATTGTCTACTTAGGTACGACTGCAGACCAAGATGTCATCTAGGTATACGAGAACGTATTCTTCAAGGATGTCCCTGAAGATGTCGTTCATCGCCGTCTGGAAGTTGGCGGGTGCATTGGTGAGGCCGAATGGCATCACCGTGAACTCGTAGTGGCCGAAGTGAGACCTAGAGACGGTCTTCGGCTGATCCTCTGCAGCAACGCGGATCTGGCGATAACCACTACGAAGATCGATCTTCGTGAAGAAGCGGTTGTCTGCCAGACGGTCAAACAGCTCATCCGCGCGGGGCATGGAATAATTGTTTTTAACCATGTAACAGTTAAGGTCGCGGTAGTCGATGCAGAGGCAGAGAGTTCCGTCCGCTTTGTGAGCAAAGAGGACAGGTGCACCCCAAAGGGAGTTACTAGGTTTAATGAAACCCAGTCGAAGGAGCTCCTCAAGCTGATGCTTGAGTTCTGTCGCCTCTGGAATCGAGAGTCGGTACTGTGTCGGTGCAAATACCCTTACAAGGGTATCCGCCCTGGTTTTTGCAAACAACGAGAATAACTTTGGTTTAAAGTTTAAGTATTCCGCACGAGGCGCGACTGCATCTGTGGTTTACGTTGGTTGGATGAACGATTAGAGTAGGGAGTGTGTGGACGCGCAGGCTTGAGGCGAGCGTGATCTTTTTCTTGGTTGATCATTGTGAAAGTCGGTGTAGTCGCCGACCCAAATTTTTGTTTCTGATTAAATTATGATTAAAAATGCTTTGTCTCATGATTGATGTGTTTACCTGTGACCTATCCGTACGTGCGAAGGACGGTATCGACAACAGGGTCACCTTGAAGTGTTTTTAGTAGAATTGCGTGTCGCGCAGTATCGATTTATTTTAGGTGTCCGTCAAAGTTAGACAAGACATTGGGCCTAGCTCTACTGATTACAGTATCGGACTTTCGTTAGGGAGATTTAGGGATCGAGATCGAGTGGCGACGGCGTGGGAATATCAGAGTAGCAGGAGGGGACCGAAAGGGGGCTACGTCGACGGGGCTATCCCCCTTGGTTTTGTTGTCAGCAGCGCCAGAGCGGTACTAGCAGTTCCTTTTTCTCGCCTATCATTTTCTGACGATTAAAGAGTTCCAAATATTTTATCTTATTTATCATTATTTTTGCTCTGGCATTCTTTGACCTAGACGCGGCGCCAGATCTAATGGTCGTCACGGTTGTAGAGGACCTTGAGCGCGCGCCTCGTTCGAATGGGTCCGCATGTTCGGGATACTAGCGAAAGTCCTTGACCACGCCGTAGCTAAGAACAGGGTGCGGTCAACAGAAAAATTCCCGCGAGAAATGAAAGTTGAAAAAACATTTCATAAGAAAAAAATCCTTTATATTTATAAATTATCATTCCCATGTTTGTCCAATTCTAAAATTTTCATTTTTATTTGATAAGTTCCCGTCTAAATATGAGTTTTCCCTTCCAACTACATCTATTTGTTCAAGATGGAATGGAAGTCTGGACGAGTTTATGAAATGTTTTAATTAAACTTCCATTCTACTCCAACAAATATCTTCTAATTTAGATTGGATTAACCTATTTATGACTGAAAATCCTTACTTAGAATGACAGTCTAATTAAAATATTTCATGACTTCATCCAGACTTTCATTCCATCTCTAGCATGCAGTTCAAATAAGAAGGGATACCCCATTCTTAGAAGGAAAGTTCTCAAGTAGGACGAAAAATTTTAAAATTGGAATGACATTTTTTAAGATGGAATGAAAATTTGAAATTTAGAATGTAATTTTACTATAGAATTAATATTTAATTGTGGGAATTTTTTCTGTTGGTCAGGGTTGAGTTTGTAATTGCACTTGAGGCAAAAGGGTCAGTAATGCTTAATGTATATGACCTACGTTTCGGGTCCGGTGAGTTCGCGTGAGGGTGTGTTGTAACCGCGGGGTTGCCTGAAATGCGATTATCCATAACTACGCCGAAGCTACCCTTTTATAAAAATTATGGGGAACCCCGTAGCAGTCATACTCGTGCTCAAGCCTCCAATGAGGGAACATGCGGGATCTTCACCCACTATCGGGTGCGATGCCTGCAACGAAAGGTGGGCGGTACCGGCCAGGGGTCAGTCGGCAGCATCAGGGCCGGGCTTCTCCGATGGCGCCAATCACTATGCCTCCCCTCTGGTCCCCTCCCCCTATGAGCATCAAGTGGCCATCGGCCGCTGCGATAGCAGCTACAGGCAAGGCGGAAACAGCGGGGGAGGCCGCTACGCTAAGGGAACAGTAGACTGGTGGTGGAGGGAGCTAGAGGGACAGCGGGCGCAACGCTGGTACCGTGCTAGTGGTAGGGTGGCCCGACAGCGGAGTGGGGAAGGCTGAGGCATGGGTAGTGCGCTGCAGCATCATTCATTATCAAGACGTGCAGATCCGGCAGATGAATAGTTAGGCAACTGACCACGGGGGGGGTTGGATTCGATGGGTTTGGCATGTGTTTTGATTTCACTCTTGCGTAAATATCACGTGCTGACGTCTCTTTTTCACCTAGGGTTTCCCCCTGCCCCCTTCCTATTGTCGGTCCTGACTGTCATATTCTGTGTCTGCCACTGGGTGGGGGGCACGATGGAGAGGAGCGAGAGGAAAGTTTGTCGTTTTGGTGGGGGATTGGGGGAGGAGATAGGACAATCAATAAGGGATGGGCAGAACTCTGGTTGGCGAAATGGCAGGGGAAGCGTATGCATGGGAGATGTGTGATAATAATAATAATAATAATAATAAAAAATAATGATATATGTCGCTGATGTTCCTAACCTATGCCAGAAATTTCACAAAAACAATCTCGTGAGAATGATCTTCGCCGGGTTAATAGCTTAGGATAAGGGAGGGTAGGCAAACATCCTCCGCTGGCGGAAAATGTGAATCATAGAGCTGGGCAGCAACCTTATGCACGGAGGGGGCCTAGGGTTTGCTTTGCACGGTTATGACTGTGCCACCCTCCGCATGGCTAGATCTTCATACATGCTGTGACCTGGCTGATAATTGGGCGGGCAGTCAATCCCCTCGTGAGAGGGCAATCAATGTTGTTCCGCCAGATAGATTGTCTCCAATCTTGTCAGTGGGGCGCTGGTAGCATAGTCTTCTATATTTTTTTTACATACTAATCATCATCATCATCATTATCATAATCATCATAATCATCATCATCATCATCATTGGGATTATTATCTCACAAGAATGAACAAAAGTTCATCATCATCATCATATGAGGGACACTGAGCCCGGTTCTCAGCTTGTTCGGTTCGGCCACTCCGGGTAGACTGTGAGGACCCCAGCCTCAATCTTCTTATTGATAATATCCGCCTTGGGCACTAGGTCCCTTTATCTTTCAAAAAAAAAAAAAAAAAAAGGGATGCTGGACCCTGTTTCCAGTAGGTGACGCTCCCCCACCAATAGATTGGAGCCATCTATAAACTGGGGCTTGCACCTCCAATAGCAGGTTGCCACATATGTTCCGGCTAAAAAAAAAAAGTGAAAACTATGGCGCAGTCAGGATAACAGTTTGTAATTGCGTTTGGAACTGCGTTTTAGCAGTTTAGTCAGGGCCCGAGTTTCAATTGCATTTGAAACTGCGTTTTAGCAGTTTGAAACTCGGGCTGGCTTTTCCTAACAGTTTAGTCAGACACATGGCCGTGTCTTTCGTTCTTCGTTTTTTTTCCTTTTTTTTTGTCGGTTTTTTTTTTCCGTTTTTTTTTTTTCTTTTCTTTTTTTGGTTGGGTGCCGTAACGCTCCGTGCCGCTGCGCGGCGGGGGAAAAAAAAAAAACAAAAAAAAAAACAGCCCCATGGTTGGGCCACGGCCAAGATGTCTCGGCCACACCCCAGACTGGCCACGCCCTAGATCGGGCACGACGGAGATGTCTCTGCCACAGCCGAGATGCACAGGTACTACCCTTCACAGGCAAACGCGAAGTCTCAAGAGTAGCTTACTCCGAGGAAGTGGGGGGCTCGGGGCAGGGATGGAGGCCAAAAACAGAAAAAAGAAAAAGAAGAAATAAAAAAGTAAAGAAACGAGGAACTTCGAATCCACCTACGTCGGGAAGGCCCTCACCTCACCAGTGCTTTGAGGAATGTACCTGGCCAGGAAGTGAGGAACATGAAACAGGTCGTTTTCCTTTTTTGTTTCTTGTGTGAGGTCCTTGTAGCGCCCTGCCAGCCAGGCAGGGCAGATTCCACGCAAGGCAGCTAACTGCCTCGCTTCATTCAGTTCCAGACAAACACTGTAGCATCCTGTAT